ACGGCATTTTGTTGTGGGGTCGAGCTGCAGAAATAGAATCAATTTTTATTCTTCAAAAGCGGGCTATAGGAGCAATATATAAATTGCGCCGTTGCGAATCGCTGATGAGAGAATTGTTTAAAACGATAAATATTTTAACGGTGCCATGTCAATACATATCCCATCAAAAACTTTCTGTAAAAAACTAGCCAAGTCTCGATGGAGCTGCTAATTTATCTCTAAAAAGTTATGAAATATAACAAAGTCGTGCCAACTCTAAGGTTCCTTATTGCGATTTTGTTAATATTATAGTTAATGTTGTGTGACTTTGTCGTTGAAGTCCGCAATTTAATTATTTCAAATCTTACATAACTATTTTTAAGAATTTGTTTTAAAGTTACAAAAGAAAAAAATTAAAATATTTTTAACTTATTACCTTAATATGGCACAAAAACATTATCAAATACTACAATAACCACTTACATACCAATTTAATATTGCACTTCAATACTTATCATTTTATTATTCTACATGAGATCATTAACACTACATAACAAATACAAACAACTACATAAAGTTACAGTAAATTCGTAAACCCGTGATATAAGTAATACTATGGAATATTGTTAAATAGTTAGTTGTTTAGTTATTATCAGTCTTGTGTACATATTATGTATTTATCATTCATGTATTCGTTTAGGGTGTAATAAGCCTTTTCAACCAATATATTTTTTATTTTATTAATGAATTTTTTGTCACTGATCTCTGCTTTTAATTATTCAGGTATCTTGTTATAGATTTTTATTGCCATTACATAATTACATATGTGCCGTTCAATCTATAATACATTTAACATCTTTTATTCTATTCTACCCAACTTCATCTAAGTAGTGTGCGATCAAGCAAGATATCATACAATACCTAATACTAGCCACTACGAATACTCTCCCATAAATAATTGAATGCATGTACTAGAACCACTTGAAAATTTTAAATAAAATTTTAAATGATTATAGCCGCAACGTTATAATGGATCTTGAGATGGGATTTTACTAAATAAGAAATAAAATCCATCAGTCACTAAAAGCAATACTTCGCCACTACATGGAAGGTACAGTTTACCACCACGTTTATTGGAAATTCCACTAAGTTGACAACACTGCATCCGGCTATTGATCTTCGTTCACTCCGCAATCCGCATGCGCGATGCGCCGTGACGCAGGACTAGTCAGGACTCAGCCTCCGAAGTGACGGTAACGGCGATTTTGTAACTTATAGTTATCAATATTTCATTAACCAACTCTCAAGAAAGGAGGAGGGCCTCAAATCAGCCGGTATGTTCTATTTCTATTTTCTTTTTATATGTATGTTCAACAATTACATCGAGGTGCGTTGATGGGTATCGATTTTCTGCTCAATGCCAAAGGAATAGTGTTCCTATAAAAAATTATTCAAATTGGATCAGTAGTTCTTATTTTATGAGCATTGTACAACGTCATAATCACGATATTTCGTAGATTTGTGCATCGATACACGACTGACTTATTCACGGCCTCCACATGGCATCTTTGAACGCATTGAAGAACATGTTCTTAAATGGCCGAAGAAAAAGGAAGTGCGATATTCAAGATTCCGCGATGCAGAACACACCTGGGCTTTTTTTTTAAAGGAGGGAATATCATCGAATGACTGCTCCCTCCTGGGTGAGGCGGAAGAGAGTGTCAGACTCTTACTGACTAAAAACCACCCCGTTCCTTCTCCTGCACGTCGAGCCGGGGCCCTGGTTACCCGTTAGGTTCTCCGCGACTCCGAATCGGCATCGGCCCTATGGGCCCCATCTGTGGTGATCTGATGGCTCTTTGAGGCGCGCGCGGAACGCGACGCGCCGTACGCTTGTGTCTGTTTCTGGTCGGACGGGGCGCCACCCATGCTCGCCGTCCGCAGGCCCGCGCTTACGGTGGCCGGAGATCGTCCCGCGATCCCCGACGCCCGGTGTGTCCTTCGCGATGGCTGGGTTGCGAGGAGGCAGCGCTTCACTGCCTCACGCGTCCCGCCTCCTCCTTAGCTAGCATGACTGCTTCGCAAAAGGAGGAGACGGCATCCCAGTCCCCCTCGCTCCGCATCATGGCCTGCACTAGGCCCGGACGCGAGAGGTCGCCATCGCCGATCACTTCCCTGAGGGCACGGCGGTGCTCGGCCCACGCAGGGCATTCCGCTACAGTGTGTTCCACCGTGTCCTCAGGGCGGTCCTCGCAGTGATGACACCCGGGCGTTTCCTCCCGCCCCATCAGACACAGGTACCCTCCGAAACTTCCATGTCCGGTGAGGACCTGCGTCAGGTAGTAGGTGAGGACGCCGTAGCGTGTCTCAAGCCACTCCTCAAAGAGGGGACTTACCGCTGCGATGGCAGCGAGCCCAAACACACCTGGGCTTACATGCCGTCAGGTTCCTGCCTATACTTGTTTCATTCGGCGCATCTTTATTTGTACTGTTCATTATATTGTTTAGTATGTTTATTTTTGATTGAATAAGGGTTATTTTAATGAGAGAAATTCATCGAATGTCTTCCCCCGCCTGGGTGAGGTGGGAGGGAGTGTCAGACTCTTACTGACTAAAAACCACCCCGTTCCTACTACTGCACTTCGAGCCGGAGCCCCGGTAACCTGTTAAGTTGTCCGCGGCTCCGTATCGGCATCAGCCCTATTGGGTCGCATCCGTGGTGGTCTAATGGCTCTTTCGTCCGTGCTTACGGTGGCCGGAGATCGTCCCGCGATCCCCGACGCTTGGAGTGTCCTTTGCGACGGCTGGGCTGTGAAGAGGCAGCGCTCCGCTGCCTCACGCACCCCGCCTCCTCCTTGACTAACATAACTGCTTCAAAAAAGGAGGAGACAGCATCCCAGTCCTCCTCGACCACATCACGACCCGGACTAGGGCTAGACGCGAGAGGTCGCCGTCGCCGATCACATCCCTGAGGGCACGGCGGTGCTCAGCCCACGCAGGGCATTCGCCTACCGTGAGTTCCACCGTGTCCTCAAGGCGGTCCTCGCAGTGATGACACCCGGGCGTGTCCTCCCGCCCCATCAGACACAGGTACCTCCCAAAGCTCCCATGACCGGTGAGGACCTGCGTTAGGCGGTAGGTGAGGACACCGTAGCGTCTCTCAAACCACTCCTCAAAGAGGGGAATTACCGCTGACCGCTACAATGGCAGCGAGCCCAATTGAATAAGGGTATAGTACATTTTTTCCTTCTCAATTTACTTGTAGGTAACAAATAAAACATACTTCTATTACTTTATTTGCTTATATATAGGGCCAAATATCCTTATACTAAACTTACTTTACTGACCACCCCGTTGCTACTCTTCAAGCCGGAGCCCCGGCAACCCGTTAGGCCTACCACGGCTCCGTATCGGGCATCAGCCCTACTGGACCCCATCTGTGGTGGTCTGATGGCTCTTTGATGGCGCTTGCGGAACGTACGCACGCCGTACGCACGCACGGGTTTGGTTCTGGTCGGGCGGAAAGTCACCCGTGCTCGCCGTCGCAGACCCACTCTCACGGTGGCTGGAGACCATCGATCTCCGATGCCCGAAGTGTCTCTCGCGATGGCTGGGGCGTGAGGAGGGTCGTTTCCTCACGCCCCCGCCTCCTCCTTGGCAAGCATGACTGCCTCGCAATAGCAGGAGATGGCATCCCAATCCCCCTCGCTCCGCATCTTGGCCTGAACCAGAGCCGGACGCAATAGCAACTGCATCCCTGTGAACACGGCGGTGCTCAGCCCACGCACGGTGGAGCATACCGCCACGGTATGCTACACCGTGACCTCCTGGCGGTCCTCGTCTAAATCTTTCTTATATATAAAATAAAGACGTGTTTGTTACAACACTTATAACTCGAGATCGGCTAGACCAATTGTCATGGTTTTTGGTTCGTTGGGTTTGTCCCCGCCCCGAGTAGCAGAATACATCTTAAAAATAACGAAAACTCGACGAGAAAATGATTATAAAACATGAATCATTTTCTCTCAATGTTACTTGTTTCATACCTGTCTAACATTTGTAGTCCATCCTGTCAAATACTATAATGAATAATAGTTGACATACGTTCGGAAATAAGATTTATTTTAAAAGTTATCGAAAACGTAAAAGTCTTATTTCTATGATTAATGATTACAAATGTTAAAAAGTCCACTATCCAAAGTAATAGTCTATTATCTAAACTAATGTACAGCCTGACCAGAAATATAATAAACCTGTCAGGTCTCTTCTTTGTTTGCAAAGAGTATCACGTGTCGGTAAACTATGCACTTTATTTGTTCCTGCGCTTGACAAAAAACAAAGTATGTCATTTACCACAAGGTGCTTGAATGAACAGAGCTAATCCGAGTGCATCACATGCTACACAGCATATTATTATGTACTTTAGTTTAATAAAAATATTTCTGACACGTGTGAGAAACTCTTTCTGTATGTATTGTTCATAATAATAAAATACTTTTATATACACATCTATCTGTGTTCATATTTATGTTGTATCATTGTATTGCGCTCATCAAAGTCTAAATTAGTTCAGCTAGAAGGTAACACGACATTAATTGACAGTTAGGCGGTACGACGTTCGCCGGGTCAGTTGGTATTACATAACTAAATTAAATGTCAACACACCCAAAAGCTGCAGATATTAATAAATTATTTTTTGGTCTTTAGACCGCAATGTTAACCTTTAGCCTGTACCGCTGTTAATTTCTTGCCTTTCTATGTTTGCGTGTATATTGGGGATGCTTCATTAAAGAAAGAAGTAAATAGAAAGCTTCGGACATAGCGTTGGAGATCACGGAGCACAGTAGTTTCAGTTTTTGCAAAATTGAAATTGCAATTGTGACCTTAAAAGATAGCCGACTAAGTACATGGCTAGTAAAGCGCAACACAAGCCCGGTACAGCTTGCTACTACATCAATTTTATTAATTATAATATGGTTACCTATACTTTTCCAGATAAGATAACAATCTTGAAGAAAGAGATGGCAGAAAAGGATGAAGATTTAGTAAGTAAGAACAGGAAGCCACTGGATCTACCTGTCCCGGAGCAACAAGCCGTAAGTAACAAATATTATTTTATTATTTCATTAAGACTAGCATAAGATGATCCATCATTTCACAGATAGTTAAATCATTCAATATGCTACTAGTAATAGAAATAAGTATGTCTGCAATTAATCCATATATTTGGGGTATTTATACAAAGTGCAATTATATAGAAGAGAAGCCCTTTTACCGACTTCAAAAAAAGGAGGAGGTACCAAGTTTGGATGATTGTTTTTGTTTGTTCACCGATTACTCCGCATTCATTTGCAATTATAATCCACATAGGAGCAAAGTTCTAATAAATACAAATTATTCAAGCCCAAACACAAGGTAGTTACTGGATACCTTTGAGGAGTTCCATTAACCATTACACTTCTTTATCATCAGACCCTTAAATGGCAGTCCCACTCCATCTAGGTGTAAAGTTGTCAGTAATACAAATTAATAAAGCCAAAACACTAGGTTGTTATTATAAACAGTTAAGGAGTTGCCTCGACTGTCTGTCGACTTCAGACCAAATTGTTCATTTATTCACCGACTACTCCGCCATTCGTGAATCGAATTCCAAAATTCTTGTTTTGTTTGAAAGGAAATACACCCGAGATGGTTCCATTGAGGTCAGGTTCTGATGATGGAATCCTGGGGAAACTGAGGGGAATTTTTGAAAATTGTAGTGACGAGTAATGCGTCTATTATGTTTTGGCTCTATTAAAATGTATTTTTTTTAAACGTTCCCCACACTAGGAGTATCTCCTGTGTCGTGGTACAAGTTCACATACACATGACACCCAGACCCGAAACAACAATTTGTGGATCACACAAAGTGTTGTTCCGTGCGGGAATCGAACCCGCGACACGTTACACAGCAGCCGGTTGCCCAGCCACCGCACTAACCGTGCAGTCAAAGTATTGATGATTATTAATATTGATCAGACCTTTGCACCTATGTGAATTATGAGTTGCAAAACGGATTTATGTAGCTTTACACTAACAATAAAAAATAAAAAAATTAAATCTACGTTTAAAAACCGACTTCAAAAAACCAAAAAACTAGTAATAATCAAAAGGTAAATAAAAACTAGAAAGCAAAAAATAACTATTATTAGTACCGACAGGTTACTCACCCACTGACAAGGTAGAAGCCGGCGCATAAGCTCATATCAAAATGATGTAACTGGTCACGAAATTGTAAACAGCTTAACATTAATTAAATAAAATCTATTAAGGTTCTAATGAATTATTTTGTATAGAACATATGGCGCTGACTTCTAACCTATCATAATAGTTATTTTTGCTCTTTATATTTTCACTTTTTGTTTGTTATTAGGTTTTGGTTTACAATTTTTCTTTTTTTAACCGACTTCAAAAAAAGGAGGAGGTTCTCAATTCGACCGTATATATGCTTTTTTTATGTTTGTTCGCCGATATCTACGTTGTTTATGAACCGATTTTGAAAATTATTTTTTTGTTAGAAAGGAGATAGTTCCAGAATGGTCCCATGATAAGGTAATCAGGACCTGATGATGGAAGACCAGGGAAACCGAGGGGAACTTTTAAAAATTATAGGGGTGACTAGGGCATTTGTTAATTTTTTCATTAAGTATTAACAACCACTACAATCTGATAAAGGTCTGGAGCCGATCTGATGATGGAGCCGAGAGCCAGTTGAGGGAACTCCTTAACGGTTAACAGTAGCTACCTTGTGTTTGGGTTTGATTAATTTGTATTGATGAGGACTTTACACCTGAGTGGGGTGCAATTGCCAATAAGGGTCTGATGATGAAGTAGTACGCTAGTTGAGGGAACTCCTCAACGGTTAACACTAGCTACCTTGTGTTTGGGTTTGATTAATTTGTATTGATGAGGACTTTACACCTGAGTGGGGTGTAATTGTCAATAAGGGTCTGGTGATGAAGTAGTACGATAGTTGAGGGAACTCCTCAACGGTTAACACTAGCTACCTTGTGTTTGGGTTTGATTAATTTGTATTGATGAGGACTTTACACCTGAGTGGGGTGTAATTGTCAATAAGGGTCTGGTGATGAAGTAGTACGATAGTTGAGGGAACTCCTCAACGGTTAACACTAGCTGCCTTGTGTTTGGGTTTGATTAATTTGTATTGATGAGGACTTTACACCTGAGTGGGGTGTAATTGTCAATAAGGGTCTGGTGATGAAGTAGTACGATAGTTGAGGGAACTCCTTAACGGTTAACAGTAGCTACTTTGTGTTTGGGTTTGATTAATTTGTATTGATGAGAACTTTACACCTAGATGGGGGGGGGGGCGGTGATGGTCATTAATGGTCCAATGACGAAGTAGTATGATAGCTAAGGGACTCCTCAATGGTTAAGAGTACCCACCCGGTGTTTGAACTTGCATAATTTGTATTGATGAAAACTTTGCATCCATGTGGGTTTTGTATAATATAATAATTATATCAAAGTACTAAACTAAAAAGTATAAAATTAAAAAACTGCGTTTAGAAAATCCGACTTCAAAAACAACTATTACCGTATATATGCTTTTTTTTAACCGACTTCAAAAAAAGGAGGAGGTTCTCAATTCGACCGTATATATGCTTTTTTTTATGTTTGTTCGCCGATATCTACGTTGTTTATGAACCGATTTTGAAAATTATTTTTTTGTTAGAAAGGAGATAGTTCCAGAATGGTCCCATGATAAGGTAATCAGGACCTGATGATGGAAGACCAGGGAAACCGAGGGGAACTTTTAAAAATTATAGGGGTGACTAGGGCATTTGTTAATTTTTTCATTAAGTATTAACAACCACTACAATCTGATAAAGGTCTGGAGCCGATCTGATGATGGAGCCGAGAGCCAGTTGAGGGAACTCCTTAACGGTTAACAGTAGCTACATTGTGTTTGGGTTTGATTAATTTGTATTGATGAGGGCTTTACACCTGAGTGGGGTGTAATTGTCGAAAAAAATTACTATTAGTGGTATAGTTATTTTTTTCCTTTTTGTTTATCATTTGTTTTTGAAGTCGGATTTTTTAAACGCAGTTTTTTAATTGTCATTCGTTTTTGGTATTTTTAAGTCGGTTTTTCTTTATAGCAAGCATATGAATGCCCATTGCTGAGCAAAGCCTCTTGTCACACGGAGAAGGTTTGAGCACTAATCACTACGCTTGCTCAATGCGGGTTGGCAATTTCAAACTTATAGTTAGACATTAAATGCCCAGGTTTGCTCACGATGTTTTCCTTCAGCGTTTGTAAGTGGTGTCTAAATAATCTTAGAAAGTACATATAACTGAAAAAGTCAGATTGGTACTTGCCGTTGGTAGGTTTCGTTGTGCCAACCCGCATTGAGCAAGCGTGGGGATTAATGCTCAAACCTTCTCCGTGTGAGAAGAGGCTTTGCTCAGCAGTGGGCATTTATAGGCTGTTGATGTTGTTGATGTTGTTGGTAGGTTTCGAACTCGTACCCTCATTTATGAGAAGCGGGCGTCTTAAATGTTCAGGCCACCACGATTTGATGTTGCACGACTTAAGTATATTTTGATGAAATTGTTCTTTGTTTGTAACCAGGTTCCAGCTGATAAAAGTGCCAACAAGCCGGAAGACGCCGCCCATGAGGGTGAAGAGGGTGAAGGCAACGTTGCTAGAGAAGATGGAGAACGAGCCGGTGGTTCCCCCTTTCTTGACTGGTTGCCACCGGCACCTATTGCTCGCAGGCATTTTGAAGCATATATTACGTAAGTATTGAATACACTGAGACAAAACATACCACTGTTCTTAATCAAATTTTACACGTCAAGAATGTAGTTCTAGAAGTTGAAGGTTGTAAATAGTCAGGGCTTTGTTTATTCAAACTTTGAATATCAAAGTTAATCGATAGTCATCTTTATATTTTTTGTTATTACAGGGCCGTAGGCGACGATGGGATTATTTATTTATACGACTTTGAACAACAAATCACTCGGAACCTTATACGTAACACATTATATGCCAAATATAAATTGGATCTTCAATATCATTACCGAGACGAAACGGACACAACATGGGAGGTGGGGGAACCGTGCATAGTATTACGGGGCTCGGCGGAGACCTTTAGAGGAGTAGTGATTAAAGTAAACCAAGAAAAGCGCACGTGTCTCATCTATTACATAGATTACGGTAGAGAAGTGGTCGTCTCCTTTAGAAGCTTAAGAAAAGGTGCTGACCTCCGTCACATTCCGATACAAATACTCAAGTGTACGTTAAATCGTATACATCCTGTCGAAAACCAATGGAGCAGAGACACAATAGACTACCTTCGCATATCTCTTGTTGAAAAATCAGGAGTTGCAAGAGTAGTTGGTGAAGAAGTAGACGGAATACTATCAATAGAGCTAAAGTTTTGGGGGATGTGGGTAAGTGACCTGTTAGTAGATTTCGAAAGGGCTGAATACGAAGATGGCATCGTGAAATATTGTTCAGTTGAAGAGATCAAGGAATTACTTGAAGAAGATCCACTTGATTCTGATGAGCCATCTTCATCTGCCGCAAGCTCAAAGGAAGACCAACAGCCTGCGACTAATGGCGAGCTCCTTACCTACCCGAAATATAGCGGTAATGAACATCCGTGTTTTATGAGTGAAATTAATGATGTTACCAAATTACCAGTACAAATTTTTTACGAAGATAAAGAATTGGACAATCAGTATCGAGCTTTGCACGATGAGCTCCAGTCTGAAGGTATGAATATGCCACCGCTGAATGGAATATTTGAGAATAAACCATGTATTGTATTAAGTTCCGACAACTTTGAATGGTACCGCGCATCGATTATGTCATTCAGCAAAAGAGAAAGTGTTGTTAAAGTTAAGTATGCTGATCATTCTGACATTGAATTTATCCCGTTGGCTAATACAAGGGAGATTAGTACTAAATGGCTAAAGCTTCCTCCCATCAATTTATCTGTCAAAATATTCGGCATGCGCATGAACCGCAAGGCAAATATGGCTATTATAGGCAGGCGATACGCTGAAGCTTTCTTTCAACGAGGACCTTTTGTGTTGGTCATCAAGGGGTACGAAGGTGTTACGCCCTTGGTAGAGATCAGAGATGAAGATAATGATTTGCCATACGAAAAACTTATAGAAAATGATATATTAATTAAACTCGATTAATTCTTAATAGAGTTTAACTATGGTTTTGTTTACATCATAAAAAACTGTAAAACTATAAATTAAACATTTTAACAATACACAATTTTAACAATTTAACCATTTTAACAATTTTCAATTCAAATAACCATTTTAACAATTTAATAAATTTTTTTCTGTAATAGCATATCGAGTAGTAATCTTATATCAAGAGGTAGACAATTGTGTAGTTAAATGTTACTATCTAGAAGTACGACTGTAGGCTGTAGCGTTGTAGGATGTACCTGTATTAGTCGCGGGTGGTCGTGTTACACGTGGAGCGCGTCACGTGAACTTCTTTCTGTAGTTAACTAGTTAGTTTAACTTTTGTGCCGACGTGTGTGGGCGTCGTTGTCGTAGATCAAAGTTATTCTATCTATATCTAACTAGAGTTGTAAAATGTATGACAAATGTATCACTTTCTAGTTTTATTTTAATTCTTAATATAGTGTAGATACTAGTTACTGATCTGAGCTCAATAAAATTTGAAAATTATAGTTTGTTTTATAATTTAAATGACCTGGGGGGGGGGGATCATCGAATGCCTTCTCCCGCCTAGGTGAGGCAGGAGGGAGTGTCAGACTCTTACTGACTAAAAACCACCCCATTCCTACTCCTGCATTTTGAGTCCGAGCCCCAGCAACTCTCACGTTTATAAGACGTGTACAAGAGAGAAATAAAACTAGGTTTAGAATTAATAAGGTATGTGGGTATATTAAAAAAAAATTGAAGGATCTGCCTAGGTCTTTAGCACATGCTTAGTCTTCCACACTTCCCTGGCGAGCTCCCGTCCTCCAGGCGTAGTTCCGTCAGCTCGGCCACTCCACTCAGGTGCTGTGACAGGTTCGGTGTCCGGTTCGGTTATTGAAACCGTGACGTAATTCCTGGTGACAACCCTCGAACATCTTTCCGACCTCATCGAGCAGAACGATGGGCCGATATGCCGAGGGGGAGTCCGCCGGGCGTCCCTGTTTGCGGAGCAGGCACAACTGCCCCTCCTTCCAAGGTTTCGGGAACCGCCCCGTTGCGAGACACGCGCTGAAGAGGTCCCGAAACCGCTCCTCCATTTGGGAGGCAGCGATGGCCACCACCCTTGCAGGGACGCCGTCTGGGCCGGGGGCAGTTTTCTTTGCCCGGAGGCGAACCAACGCCGTGTGGATCTCGCTGTCCGTAACAGGGGGAGCCTGTTCCTCCTCTTCCGCTAGGGCCCTCCCCCGAGGGGGGTTCATCGCTGGAGGGGAGAACTCCGCGTTCCTGCGCGGAAACAGGGAACGCACCACCTCATCCAGCAGCGAAGGCTCGAGGGTCTCTGTCACCGAGGGACCTGAGGGGCGCAATTTGTTGCGCGCCGCCTTGTACGGTCTCCCGAATGGATCGCCGTCGAGTGTCTCCAGCAGCTCGGCTCTCGCTGAGTCTTTGGCGGCACCGATAGCTGACTTGAGGGCCGTCTTTGCCGCCACGTACGCTTCATACAGACGGTCCTCGTCAGTTTCGTCTCGGCGCCGCCGACGACGGCTCCGCGTGAACTGGCGTTTAGCCGCCATGCACACTGCCCGCAGTTGCGCCAACTCCTCCGACCACCAATACACAGCGCGGTTTGGAGGTGGGCGACGAGACCGAGGCATGCTGGAGTTGCACACTTCGGTCAGAGACCCTCTCAGTTAAGACGCTGCGGCGTCGACATCTGCACTCAGGACGGCAGGGGGCGAAAGCCAGTCCTGCAGGAACGCGGCCTCCTTTGCAGCCTCCCGGTCTAGGCGGGTGAGAGCCCACCGAGGAAAGGGGGATCGGCCCAACGATGCAGAGTTCCCCCGACGGCCCTGGGTGGAAATTTCGAACCGCACGTATCGGTGGTCCGACAAGGTCTCCACCATGTCCACCCGCCAGTTCTCCACACGCGCGGCTAGCGATGGGGATGCAGAGGTGACGTCCACTATGGACCCACCCTGCCGCCGCAAGCATGATTGAACTCTCCCCCTATTTAGAAGGGAGAGACCAGAGGAGGCTGCCCACGCCTCGAGCGCCCGCCCACGGGCGTCGATAGCCGGGTTGCCCCACGTCTCTGACTTGGCATTTAGGTCCCCCAGCACAGAGACCTGTCGGGGCGTCATCCTGCCGACGACAGCCGCAAGAACTCCGAGAAAGTCCTCGAAGTCTTGCAGAGAACGATTTGGGGAGAAATAAACGCCCACTAGGGCTAAGTCCCCCCACGCGACGGCCACGTATCCCGATCCTCTCTCTAAAAGTGAGAGGGCAGGAGCGTCTGTCAAAGGCCGTGCCGCAACTGCCACGAGGCCGTCCCTGTCGCCCAACCAACGGTCAGGGATTGAATAGGGCTCAGCGACTACCGCCACGTCCACCAACCAATCTGCCATAGACTGCACTAGCAGGTCTTGGGCCGCTCTGCAGTGGTTGGTGTTGGCAACACTGCAGCTGCAGGTCGCCTTTGCACCTGCATTTTGCCCTTCTTGGTGGGGGGATTGCACTTCCTCCCAGCCATCATGTGGTTCGCTGGGCGACCACTAGCGGCACAGACAGCGCAGTGTGGCGTGACGGCATCACAGGATGCCGCCATATGCCCTTCCTTCCCGCAACGGTAACAGGTGTCCGCTCTCTCCACCGTGGACGGACACATTGTGCGGGTGTGCCCTATGCCGAAACACTTAAAGCAGCGTAGGGGTCGCTCTTCAAGTGCCCGGACCACGGCTGAACTGAACCCAATCAGGAGCCGTCCCTTGGTTTTAACAAGGACGGCCTTGGCTGCGGTGACTGGACAGTCCACACGGGTTGTGCCCAGGCCACGCCGGCCAGTCCTGATGACTCGACCTTGCACCGAGTCGACAGGGCAACCTCCTGCTGCTGCAATGGCCGCCACCACTTCTTCCTTGGAGACGGAGTCATCCAAGTTGGCGACCTCTAAAGTCGCGGACTTGACTGGCCTGGCGACCTTTGCTACGTCCGCGATGCCCTCGCGCAATTTGGCTGCGAAGAGGTCCGCATTTTGCGAACCCAATGCACCGGGAAACTCGAAGATTCGAGCTCCAGTTTGGGTACGGCGGCAAGTGACGGCCCCAATCCCCAACTGGGTGGGATCAGCATGGGCACGAGCCCGCGTCAACCTAACCTAACCTAACCTAACAAGATTTCTAAAATGTATTTTCTAAAGGTTTCTAAATTCCTAAAATGAGAAACCTTCCTTATTACCCCAAATTAATGGAATAAATAAAAATAAGAGAAAAGGGAAAGTAGGGAAGTGGGAGTCCCACCCGCTAAAAAGTGAAAGAGGATGTATGAAAGAAAGATACAGTATGAAGCATAAAAGTGCGAGAGGCATACACGCGAGAACTGGTATGAACGTGAAATTAGATTCGAATAGGCGCCAATAACGTTGGATAAAAAAAAAACCTAACCTAACCTAAGAGCCACCTCGAGTTTGATAGTTAAACACTTTGAGAACGATGTCTTTCTCGTTCATGGAATTCCACAAACTGTTATTCTTGATAATGGAAGGAAGAATGGAAGTCAGTTTATTAGCAGAGACTTAGATAAACTTTTCAAAAAATACAAAATTCCCAACATACATTTTACTCCAAAGTACACTCCACAAATTAATACAGTAGAAAGATATGTACCAAAAAGGATGGAGTATAACCAGTGCTTGTTAGGTTAGGTTAGGTTAGGTTTTTTTTTTTTTTTATTTTTTTTTATTATTATTATTAAACAGCAGGAGGGAAAATCCTCATGGAGACTCACACCTCCCCACTAGTAGGGAGGTGTGAGTACCTGACATGATCAGAGACCTTTTATTAACTATTATTTTTTGTCATTTTAATTTGGGAACCATTTTTAATATGATATATAGAGATAAACAAATACTGAAATAAATATATAAACATAAATATACATATGTTATGAGAATGTAGATATAATACATTACGTATTTGACGCTAATGTCGTAATATTCCTCAATATAAGCGCCTAGCGCCACATGTTCCTTCACTTGTTACACTGCGTTGGGTTTGGTGCTCTCCGTCTTCGTCGTGCCGTATTCACGCAAACGCTCCATCATGTGTAACATGTTTTGTAGAGACGTTTGCGAGGCCTTCTAGGACTTTTGACTTGATGGTCTGAGTTGCAAAAACCTGTGAGTTCCAAGTGAAGGACATCGTCTTGGTCCCATTTGTTTAGTTTCCGATCACGCCTTGCAGTACCATTGTCTAGCGATAGCTTCACCTCACAACACCGAGTGGAGACCGCGGTACAGCCAGTGGTGCAGACTCGCGATAGGTGCACCTTTTGACTTTTGAACCACCACGGCAGGGTTATCGGCTGATTGTTAAATTTGTACCACTTCTGACGAAGATGGACAGAATTTGTTTTGTGTAGCTTCGTGCAGTGATGGTCCGAGTCACAATCCCATTAGAATCGTGCTTTGTACACCGCCTGTCCGTGATCTTTATGCAGACTGGAGCTTCCGGTGACCGCATCCTCGCCACCGCCGAGCCCCCACGGGTTTGCCCTGCTCTCCCCACATGGGGAACCATCGATTGGTATGTCGGTGTCTGTTTTAATGTCTGCCTGTGGGACGCCCAACGCCACCTTAGCAATAACTTACGGCCGCTCGGGCCAAGGCGTCCCACTTTCTACGGACAGGGCAGTCCTGGGCGAAAATTGAGTGACCCGTGTTTGTTTCACCATTTCTGTGGCAGTTTATGCAGGTAGGGGCACCCCCTTCGGCGGATCTAGGGCAATCCGCCTGGAGGTGTGGTCCCCCGCAATGGTTGCACAGGTCCACCTGCTCTGTGCAACTTTTCCGCCCATGTCCGTAGGCCAGACACCGACTGCACTGGACCAGCGGAGACTGGTCGAACACTTTGACGTGCTGCAGGTCGACGTAGATTCTGCCAGCCGAGGTCAGCCTCTCCCACATCCGAGGTGAGACCTGGAGGACGACGTGGTTCTCGAGAGAGTTCCGCGCCTTCCTC